AGAAGTTCAGGATTCCTAGGGCCAAAGCCCAGGGACATCTGATATCTCAATGAAAACGAAGACATATCATTATTTTTGAACCAGAAGCCTTAGCAAAGGAGTTGGAGCATAGAAAAGACCACCAAGGCCTGACAGGCCTAGTACAGGCAGCAGCTGTTAAAGGCTGTTTGGTACTTTGGAGTCTGAACTGTCAGGGGCAGTGATGTGAGTTACTGTTTTATACCTGACCTAAGTGGACCAAACACTGTGACACTTCAGTGATTATGCTCATTAAGTATATTTTTTTATTGTTGTTATTAGCCCAAATCCGTATAGTCTAAAATAGTCTATAGGCAGACATCTCTCTTACATTTCCAGCATTTCGTACATGGTTAATAGTAAATAAAATAGCTAAAGTTTATTATGTGCTTGCCATGTAGTAGGCATGAACTGAGCATTTTACATGCTTTATTTCATTCAGTCCCCTCCATGATGTGGGTCCTGTTAGGCTCGTTTTGTGGATGAGGACATTGAGGCACAGAAGATTTAACTTATCCAAGATCACATAGCCAGCAAGTCATGGAGGGAGGCAGTCTGATGCCAGAGCCCAAGCCCAGAGCTCAAGACTGGGGTTGATCCTGGCTCTACTACTTGGTCAAGTGCCTGTGTGACTGGGCTAGGCCCAACCTCTGTAAGCCTGTTTTTCCATCTGTAAAAGAGGGATTATAAATAGTAGTACCTCATTGGGCCAAGTGATGAGATCAGGTGCATGAGCAGAATAAAGCACTCAGGGTATGGTAGAAATTATCATCATCACTTCTTTAAATGTGTGCATTATCTTCACAGCTGAACATACCGTTTACAGGGTAAGTCTAGAAGCAACTGGTTGAGCTAAGGATTTAGTGATTTCCAGGCTTGTCTCAATGGAAGAGCATGTGGGACTTGTTATTGCAAGTTAAACAATAAGGACAAAATGCAACAAAATATTCAAATAATGCTGCAGATACCCAGTGTTGCAGAGGCTATCACAGCAGTGCTGCTGGCAGGCAGCACCGTTGTGGGTGAGCTTGAGAGGTCACTGCCAGCCGCAGAAGTGGAGCCCAGATCAGGCATGTGAGAGGGAGCTGAGTGGGAACCGGGTGTGATAGCCAAGAGTGTGGGCCCAAGACCCAGAATGGTTACAGGACCTCCCTGGAGCAATACTGTGGCAGGACAGCTCCATGAGTCCAGGTCTGGTGACTCCAGTCCAGTGTTCTCTACCTTATTGTGTTGACCCCCCTTCTCTCTGCCAGAGATTCTTAAACCTCCCAGCAAAGAAGGGGGTGGGGACCCCTTGGAGCAAGTGTTGTAGTCCTGTTTGGTGTTATATGTATATATACACAAACATATTTATCAATCACCTGCTATGTGCCAAGTAGTAGACTTGCCATTGGAATCTTTCACTAAGATACTGTCTTTGCATTGCTATTCTGCTTTCACACTATTACATATTTTGGATTAACACTCATTTAGCATATATTTGAGTGCCTGTAATAAGCAAGGCCCTGTTTTTTATGCATATGAGAAAACAAATATAATCATTTGTAATTTGAGAATGATTATACAGATGGACAAAGCAAACCATAAGTGCAAATTACATATATGATAAATAACTTAGCACTTTGCAGGAGGATCTGGGAGGAAGAACCAGCTGATAATGGCGATGTTCTAGCAAGTACGGTCCGTGGCCTGCATTGACTATACTCAGTCCACAGTGATCCAGATTCAGGGTTTCACT